CATACATACTGAATAAGTATGGTGAAGGGTATAGCCTTGACACACATTTTTCTTGATTTTAAACTGATTTCATATAAACTTCTCTTTTTAATGACCTTTTACTTTCTTCATGTATGATGTCCTTGATGTCATCCCACAGTTAGTCTGGTCTTGGTTATTAGTATTCAATGTGCCAAATTCATTCTTGATATGATCTTTAAATTCTGATGGCATATACTCAAGGTTGTATCTTGGCTATCAAGGACTTATTTTAATTTTCTTTAGCTTCAATTTGAACTTCCATATGAGCAAGTGATGGTCTATTCCACAGTCAATCTCTACCCTTATCCTGACTGATGATAATAAGCTTCTCCATTATCTCTCTCCACAGATGTATTCAATTTGATTATTGTGTGTTTCATCCACCAAGGTCCACATGTATAGTCACTGTTTATGTTGCTGAAAAAAAGGTATTTGCAATGAATAAGTTGTTGGTCCTGCAAAAAACTATCATGTTATATTCCATTGTCATTTCTTCCACCAAGCCCATATTTTCCAACTACTGATCCTTCTTCTGTTTGCAACTTTCACAATCCAATTACCAGTGATTGCTTTGATTGCCTGTTTGACAAATTTCAGACTGCAGAAATTGTAAAAATCTTAAATTTCTTCATCTTTGGCTTTAGTGCTTGGTGTGTGAATTTGAATAATACTCATTTTAACTGGTCTTCCTTGCAGGTGATATTCAGATGGCTTGCTGAAAGTGAGGACAACTTGAAGCACTTACTTATGAAGATTGAAGACTACAGTCTGCAGTATGGATTACATCTCAGTATAAAGAAAATGAAAATCCTCACAAGTAGACTAATAAGAAGCATCATGACAAATGGAGAAGAGATTGAAGTTGTCAAAGATTTCATATTACTTGGATCCACAATCAACAACTATGGGAAGCAGCAGTCCAGAAATCAGATGACATACCGCACTGGGAAAATCTGCTACAAAAGACCTCTTTAACATGCTGAAAAGCAAAAATGTCTCTTTGAAGATTAAGGTGTGCCTAACCCAACCCAAGGACTGGGCAGTGCTTTGTTCTGTTGTACATAGGGTCACTATGAGTTGAAGCCAACTCAATGACACCTAAAAACAACAACTATAACCCAAGCCATGGTGTTTTCAATCTCCTAGTATGCATGTGAAAGACAGACAATGAATAAGGAAGACCGAAGAATAGTTGATGTTTTTGATTGTGGTACTGGTGAAGAATACTGAAAATACCATGCATTACCAGAGAACTAACAAATCTGTTTTGGGAGAAGTGCAGCTGGAATGCTCCTTGGAAGCAAGAATGGCCAGGCTTCATCTCATCTACTTTGATCATGTTGTCAGAAGAGACCATTCCCTGGAGAAGGATAATATGCTTGGTAAAGTGGAGCATCAACAAAAAGGGAAAGGCCCTCCACGAGATAACAAAGGAGGCAGCATTGGGCTAAGGTATAGGAAGGATTGTGAGGTTGGCGTAGGACTGGGAAGTGCTTCATTCCATTGTACATAGGGTCACTATGAGTCAGAGCCAACCCAACAGCATCTAACAACAACAGCATAGATAACATAGTGAATAATGAAATTCCAGAACACTTAATTACATTCATGTGGAACCTATACATAGACAAAGGGGCAATCATTCGAACAGAATAAGTGGGTACTGTGTGATTTAAAATCAGGAAAAGCATGTGTCAGAGTTGTAACCTTTCACCATACTTATTCAAACTGTGCGCTGAGTGAATAATACAAGAAGTTGGACTACACAAAGAAGAATGCAACATCAGAATTGAAGAAAGACTCATTAACAAGATATGCAGATAGTACAACCTTGCTTGCTGAAAGTTAAGAGGACTTGAAGTACTTGCTGACAAAGATCAAAGGCTACAGACTTCAGTATGGATTACATCTCAAAGTAAAGAAAACAAAATTCTTCACAAACGGTCCAATAAAATGGTTAATGGAGAAAATTTTGAAGCTGTCAAGGATTCCGTTTTACTTTGATCTACAATCAATGACCATGGAAACACAAGAACTCAAATAGCATATTGCATTGGGTAGCAAAAGACCTCTTTAAGGTGTTAAATAGCAAAGATGTCACTTTGAGGACTAAGTTGTACCTGACTCAAGCCCTTGTATTCTCAATCACCTCATGTGCATGTGAAAAACCGACAAAGACTGAAGAACTGATGCATTGGAATTACTGTTTTGCAAACAATACTGAATGTGTCCTGGTCTGCCAGACAAACAAATCTGTCTTGGAAGAAGTACAGCCTGAATGCTCCTAGAAAGTGAGGATGGGGAGACTTTGTCTAATGTACTTTGGACATGAAAAATGGAAGACCTACTGTGACGTGGATTGAGACAGTGGATGCAATAATGTCCTCAGACACAGCCATGATTGTGAGGATGGCACAGGACTGCTCAGTGTCTTGTTCTGTGTACACAGGGTCAGTGTGTAATAGAACCTCTTCTATGGCACCTAACTAACAATAACTTCTTATATATCTGTTACACAGTAAATGCTTTATTTTCACTTTTAATTCAAGTTTCTGTTTTCAGTCCTGACATATAACCTGGTGGCAACAAATTCCATGTACTCAAAAAGAAATAAAACACATTCAATTGCCCCACAAATAGAGGCACAGCTAGAGAAAACTTGCAAGTATCATTCATGGTTTTAATACCACATGAAATAAAGTTTGGTATGACAAGATAATATTCCCCAAACTCACATATTACCAATTTGCTGTATGTTAATTTATTTTCTTCATCTATATCTGTTTTCTAAATATTGTTACTGAAATTTGAAGAAAAAAATACCATGCTTTGGAAAGAGAGTTAAAAAATAGAACTAATAGCTAACAGTGAAGAATACATACTACATACATTTACACAGTAAAACAAAATGATTCATTTCTCCTACATATACCTTTAATTTTCTGACCTCTCTCTATTTTCTCAGAACCCCTGGGAGGTGCAAGTGGCTAACACTCTCAGCTGCTAACTTAAAGGATGGAGTTTCAAGTCTACCCAGAGGCAACTGAGAAGAAAAGTCTGGCAATGTACTTCCAAAAAAGCAGTCATTAAAAACTCAGTGGGACACAGTTTTATACCGACCTACATGGATTGCCATGGGTCAGAATCAACTCCATGGTCATGGGAAATCTATTTTTATATTACCTTCCCCAAGCTGACTCGACAGCACATAACAACAACAACAACAAGAAACCTAAAATGTTCTTCTACTACAGCTACTTTTCAGGGCCAAGCTCAAATGTCACCTCTTTCATTATATGGACTCTAAACTGCTGAGAAGTAGTAAGTTTCATAGATATTTTGCACTATTTCTTTTATCTAACTTGTTATTTTATACTTTAAAATATATTTATGCATTTTTCCTCTCAAAGTATGAAAACCAAAAAATAAAATTAAAAAAAAAAAAAAAAACACTGCCATCAAGTCAATGTCAACTCATAGTAACCTCCGTTGGGTTTCTGAAGTGATAAATCTTTAGAGAAGTAGATTGCCCACTCTTCCTTCCTCAGAGTGGCTGGTAGGTTTTAACCACCAACCTTCTGGTTAGCAGTCAAATGTCTCAGGCACTGAGCCACCAGAGCTCCTTTCAGAGTAAGAACCACCTCGGAAATAGAGTCTATGGCAGTTTTACATTGCCAGCTCTACTGTGCCAAGTACAAACATAGTAACTTAGTAGATGTTCAGATAGGTGTTGAACAAATAACTGAATGGATTAAATAATTAATATTTAGTAGTACAAACTCACCAGCCACTCCTTGGAAGGAAGTTGGGCAATTTAGTTCCATAGTGATACTGCCTCGGAAACCCAAGGAGATGTCACTATGAGTCGGGTCTGATTTGATGGCACATAACAACAATGACAACAGCTTTAAGAACTGGATAGATTATATAAAAGATCATACATAGTATCTACATGAACTTTCTCGACAATCATGAACTAAGAGTTATTGATTTGGAGTAATATGACTTGTTTCCTAAACAAGACTGGTGGTTGTCCAGCTGTTCTCCACAGAGCCTTTGGGAATTCATTGAGACAGCCAGATATCCCTCTTCTTGGACTGTGGGAAAATGGTGCGTAAACAGAATTCTCTACCCTATATTCTGCCTTCAGCGAAAACTGCCCCTCTTTTTATATAGGCCTTTCTGTCAGATCTTTACTTAGAGAAAGACTCTGCTGTGTATATATATATATATATATATATATATATATATATATGTATGTAAATTGTGAAACCTGTTGGGGTTCAACTTCTGAAATACTTTGGCTCCATATTTATTTCAAGTCTCTTTTATAGGAAAACATCTTCTGTCGTTAAGTAGGTAAACAAGCCATTGTATTTTAGATGAATTTACTAACACAAAAATACCAAGATGTTAGTACAAAAGTAGTGTTTCAAATAATTGTATATCAAGTCCTACTATAATTCCGTAACAGTCACTGAGCTCAGTTTTTGATATGACCTTACTGACCTGAGACCTAGCTCTCTAGTGAATCTTTCAGTTATCACTGTTTTTCAGACCAGTCTTCACATATCTGAAAGATTCCTGAGAAGTTGTTTTATAGCCTTCTATTCCTGCAAAAGGAGCTCTGGTAGCATAGTGCCTAAGGCACTTGACTGCTAACCAGAAGGCTGGCGGTTCAAACCCACCAGCCACTCCTCGGAAGGAAGGTTGGGCATTCCTACTTCCGTAGTGATACTACCTCGGAAACCCAAGGAGGGGTTGCTATGAGTCGGGACCGACTCGATGGCAAATAACAACAACAACAACATTCCTGCAAAAGTCAATGCTAGCACTTTCTATTGCCCAGGCTTGTGGTACCTGTCTTCCTACCTACAGGGCATATAAAAAAAAAAACTAATCTGTAATAAATCTTAAATCTGTGGTACACTTCTAGTCAGTTAAACAATCCCAACTTTATTATTTAAGGAAAAAAATACCTGTTCAAGTCGCGGTGTATAATTGGCTGTGTGAGGTTGTGAAGGTACTCCATACCTTTGGCAACATCTACTGCAATAATTAATTTAGACTGCAAGTCAAGAATCCTAGAATTTAAAAATAGATTTAATGGGGATGAAATGGTCAAAGCCAATACCATATATTCCTGAAAGAAATCAAATGGTGTGTGTGATTTGATTTGTCTTTTTGTGCTTTATTGAAAGTTAAGCTAAAAATTCAACAAATCTGGAAAATACTTTTTCTTCATCTGACAATTTTGAATTATAGATCAACTCAGATACCAACCCCTCTTGCTTAAAACAGTGTGCTTGATTTTATAATACTTGACATATTTATGCTCAATTCTTTTTTAATAGTATAAAAATGGAATATACTTTAATTACTGACCAAGTGAAACTGCATTCTAATTGTTACATGCGTAATTCTAGGAAGTGAATTCAAAGTAGACTTCTGCAAATACATTCTTTTACTTATTTATTTATTTTTTAAAAAAGAACTTTATTTAATAAATACTTTAAACCCTGAAAATTATTTTATTGCAAGATCACATATATTTGCTTTATTCAAATTTAGACAGATTTTTATGAGCAGCTGTAACCAATTTAAATTCCTCAGGTTTTTTTACCTTCAATTGAATTCCAGTTAAGAAAGTACAGAAGTAGTCATATTAATTAAAACACAATTAATGGGCATAAATTGTTAACCATCTTTAAAATATCACTTGCTCAGAAATTTCAGACCGTGAAGGTCGATCTAAGCTGTAAACCTCTAAGTGGGTTCAAGGGCAATTCTAATGACATATCAAATCAAAAATCAAAAGGAAGCTCTCCTACCTCTTCTGCTCATGAAGAAGGGAGAACAGAGAACCTCCTGATATGTACTCAGTGACAATAGCAAACTGGCTGGGATCGTTCAAGCAAGCACCCACAAATTGAATCACACAGGGATGATTGAGCCGGCAGAGAATAGACACCTCTCGGCAAAACATGTCCACATCTGACTTGGAGCAGTAGGTGTTGGCTCGATAACTGGAAACAGCAGCAACAGAAACCCTTATCCAGCAGATTAATCAAAACAAGGGGCTTCTTCAACATGCTTTTCAAAGGTTACAAACCCATCTGGATGCTAAATTATCTCATTTGCATACTTACCGTTTTATAGCCACTATTTTATTTCTGCATCGTCCTTTATATACTTTCCCAAAGGAACCTAAAATTATTTAAAATAAATAAATGAACATATACTATTTTGAACTCATTGAACTAAAGCCATAGGTACTTTTTTAGGTTACCTGAGCCAATAATCTCATGGAACTCAATTTCTGAGAGCTGAAGATGGAAATGTGAGGGCAATCCAGCCCTTAGGAGGAGAACGTCTGCTTTCTCTGCAAACAGGAATTGCTTTTTTATTGTTGTTGTTTTTAAAAAAATAAGTGCATATGTGGAAGCGTACACACTCATGCACACACATACTTAACCAAAAATATTCCTTAGTAATATTTCAATTTCCAGCTGTATTTGAGTACTTGGGGGTGCTAAAACCTTGTTGTAAACGATCCTTGTCTCTCAAAAGTATGTTAGTTCTCTGTCTCCATTACCTGATGTTATCAAGGCTAGTGGTTTAGCCCTGACCTGACGAAGAACCTGTTTGCCTGATGACATGCTTATCATATCACACATTTTAATAAAGACTTTTATCTGGGAAATCCCTTCAATCTATTGCAGTAGGCTTAGCTGAACCGTCATAAACTAAACCTCAAAGGTGTGACAATTAAGTGACAGGAATAAGCTTATGAATCATTCAGAAGAAGAACCCAAAGCCAAAAAATAATTTTAAATGAGTTCAAATAGCAAATAGTTAAATATAAATTTACAATTGAATTATATTGTTTACTTTCTTGGACGAATGGTTTTAATTTTGTGTGCACCATACATTCAAATGTTACCAAAGTATTACTTATATGGGAGCTTTTGAAAAATAATCTAATTCTTCAAATATTTATTCTAAGTAAAACTATTCACAATTTTTCTCAATTAAATATTAGTAGTTATAATCTATATTTTATAAAACAATAAAAATGCCTGTGGAAATAAAATATTTCTTTAAGACTCCTGTGAAATTCTCACCTTTGTTATAGCCTGTGAACTGAGAGGACATACACAAAATAGTACAGCAGGTAAGGCTAATTATGGAAAAAAGATCTATTGATGATAGTGTTTGTGCTTGTAAACTATTCATCATTTTTAATATGCAAAACATAACAGAAAGTTAGCATATTTGAGGTAATAGTTTTCCTAAATAATAAAGTACACCTAAATAATAAAGTACACAACAATTATCCCATAGTAAAAATACCTTTTGTCATGCTTTTAATCTTCCCTAAGGGGGATGGAACAGACACATAGGAGCCATCTAGAAATAAATAACAGAATTGAGAATAATCTTTTTTTTTTTTTTTCTACTTAAACATTCAATATTAAAAAGAAACATTTTGTAAGGAAACCATGCAAGACTGTAGCTTAAAGTCCAGGACTTTTCGGTCTTTCCTCTGGATGCTGAAACTATACAGTAAGTCTTTATTTAAAAGGTGCATAAAAGGATTAAAAGAAATTTCAGAGTCTACCAGACTCCAGCAAATTTAATTTATGTCCGGATATGAGTTTTCTCTGTTCTCCTTTAATAGTTCACTGAAAAGAAAAACAACTGCTCTCAGCTTACCAGGCCTTCCTAGTCATGTACAAACTTCATAAGCATCTAATGAAAGAAATGTTAAACTTGGAGAACCTGCACATTTGTGAATTAGAAAAGAGCCTAAGTAGAGGCTTCTTTATATTCCAGCTTACCCAGACACACATTTCTAAAAATAAAACTAACCTGACACAAGACTATGCCCTCCTCCCTCGCCACAGAATGATAACACAGATTTATTATCTTTAGGCACAAAATTGCCTAAACAATGACACGGAATAAGAATGGGGGTACCTCCTCCAGGCTGAGAATACTCATTACAGGGCAATTCATCCTGAGGTCTCTTATAATGCTTCAGGAGTGTGACAATCGCATCATGCCCTTTATGGAAAGACAAAAAAGACAAAGAATCTTAATTTTTGTTTTATTTATTTAGCCACTAACTATTTCAAAAATAATCAGAGATAGCTTGCAACATAAGGCGTATCTTAAGAGATAATTTATTGCAATCAGAATTTAGTATAAATAATCTTCATTATTCACAGATTCCATTTGCAAATTCTCTTGTATGCTAAAAATAATCATGGTAGAAAAATTCCCAACTGTGGTCAAATTAGGGTGCTCTGGTATTTGCTAATTTGGTTTTTGCAAAACTTTATAAGAACATAATTATTTCAAATAATGAGAATCTACTTTCATTCATTCATTTATTTATTCATTAGTTTATTCCAGGTATTTATTAATACTCTGCTATATGTGAAGAACTATGTTAGGCACTATGTTGGGCAGTGAGGAAATGATGAATAAGACTATAATGGCCCTGTCCTCATGAAGCTTACTGTCAGTGGGGAAGGGAGATATTGACCAAGTAACTATATTCACTCTTCACTTATCAACATGGATAGGTTTCAAAGACCAAGTTTTTATGTAAAAATCAGCATTATACAAAACTAGAGGATGGCCACATTAGACAACAAAATGGAGAAAAACTTTCATTACATAACTGCAAAAATGCATCGATGTATAACCACCAAATTTAATCATTACATAACAGCCAGATTTTATCATTACATAACTGCCAAATGATATCGTTACATAAGTGTCATACCACCAGGAATCATGACCCAGCCAAGTTGACACATAAGCTTAATCATTATTACTACTGTTACTCTTGGCTTGCATCTCAGTGTTTGTTACTACAAGATGTAATTATTAATGTGCAAAATAGTTGGATAGATTTTTTTATTGTTGCAAATGAGAAATGTCAGATAAGGAGACAGTCAATAAGTAATGAATAGGTATATAAGAATGATGAGAATTTCTAAAAGAGGAAATTTTAAGTGCTATGGGAATGTAGGAGTCTCGGGTGGTACAAACTGTTAAGCGTTTGGCTATTAAATGAAAGGTTGGTGCTTTGAGTATATTCAGAGACATAAGAGAAGAAAGACCTGGTGATCTACTTTGGAAACAAGCCACTGAAAACCCTATGGAGCACAATTCTATTCTGACAAGTGGGATTGCCATGAGGAGGGGGAAATCAACTTGACAGCAACTGGTCCTACATTGGAGTATATAATAAGAACATTACTAAAAGTGGGAATTATTGAACAATGCAGTAAGCATCAACAGAAGATGGAAGGAATACACAGAGTCACTGTACCAAAACGAATTAGTTGATGCTCAAAAATTTCAGAAGGTGATATATATGATCAGGAACCAATGGTGTGGAAGGAAGAAATCCAAGCTGCAATGAAAGAACTGGCAAAAAACAAAGCTCCAGGAATTGATGGAATAATCATTGAGATGTTTCAACAAACAGATGCAGCACTAAAGGCACTCAATTGTTTATGCCAAGAAATTTGGAAGACAATTACCAAGCCAACCAACAGGAAGAAATCCATACTTATGCCCATTCCAAAGAAAGGTGATCTAACAGAATGCAGAAATTATCAAACAATATCATTAAAATCACATTCAAGTAAAACTTTGCTGAAGATAATTCAAAATTGGTAGCAGTAGTTCAAACCCACCAGCCACTCCTTGGAAGGAAGGTTGGGCAATCCTACTTCCGTAGTGATACTGCCTCGGAAACCCAAGGAGGGGTCGCTATGAGTCGGGGCCAACTTGACGGCAAAACAACAACAAAAACAACAGTACATTGATAGGGAACTGCCAGAAATTAAAGCCAGATTCAGAATAGGATGTGAAATGAGGAATAGCATTGCTGATGTCAGATGGATCTAAGCTGAAAGCAAAAAATACCAGAAATATGTTTACTTGTGTTTTATTGACTATACAAAGGCTTCTTTGGCTGTGCAGATCATAACAAATTATAGATAATATTGCAAAGAATGGGAATTCTAGAACAATTAATCATGTGCATGAGGAACCTGTACATAGACCACAAGGCAATCATCCAAATAGAACAAGGAGATATAGCATGGTTAATTCAGGAATGATGTGCATCAGTGTTGTATCCTTTCACCATAGTTCCTTAATCAGTATGCTAAACAAATAATCGAAGAAGCTGAACTATATGAAGAAGAAAGCAGAATCAGGTTTGGAGGAAGACCCATTAACAACCTGTGATGTACAAATGACACAACCTTGCTTGCTGAAGTCAAGAAGATTTGAGGCATTTACTGATGAAGATCAAAGACTACAGTCTTCAGTATGGATTACACTTAAACATAAAGAAAATAAAAATTATAACTAGACCAATATGCAACATCATGATAAATGGAGAAATGACTGAAGTTGTCAAAGATTTCACTTTACTTGGATCCACCATCAACATCTATGGAAGCAGCAATCAAGAAATCAGATGGTGTATTGCATTGGGCAAATCTGCTGCAAAAGACATCTTTAAAGTGTTTAGGAGCCAAGATGTCACTTTGAAGATGAAGGTGCACCTGGCCCAAGCCATGGCATTTTCAATAGCTTCATATGCGCGTGACAGCTGGACAGTGAATAAGAAAGACTTCAGAAGAATTGATGCTTCTTGAATCATAGTGTTGGCCAAGAATATTGAAGGTGCCATGGACTGCTAGAAGAATGAACAAATCTGTCTTGTACAGCCAGAAATGTTCTTTAGAAGTGAGAATGGCCAGACTTTGTCTCTTATACTTTGGTCATGTTGTTAGAAAAGACCCTTCCCTGGAGAAGGTATCATGCTGGGTAAAGTGGAAGTCAGTGAAAAAGGGGAAGACCTTCAATAAGATGGATTGACACAGTGGCTGCAATGATGGGCCTAAGTATGTCAACGATTGTGAGGATGGCATATGAACAGGCAGTGTTTCATTCTATAAGTATATAGATTCACTATGAGTCAGGACCAATTAGATGGCATCTAACAAGAAAATAGTGAAAAGCACATGTGGTAACCAAGCATGAGTAATGTATTTGCTGTGATTGAGTACCACATTTCATTAACAACTGTAGCATAACAAGGGACTAAAATAATTTCCATAGGTTTCTGTGGCTAAGGCAGCTAACTGTCCACTGATACTTGTAGTCCCTTTTGACAGTGTAATTTTGTCACTAGGAATGGTTGCCCATCCAGAGACTATATTTCCCCATTCCTCTTGCATCTCATTGTGACATTGTTGACTAATTTTTACAAAAAGAACGAAGGAAGTGGCTGAATTGAGAAGATGGAAGACTAGGCAGAAAGACTGCACAGACCTTCTTCAACAAAGAAACCAATTAACATGGAAGATAATCCTGGATCTCTGAGCCTTGAAGGGAAGGATAGAGAAGTGGACTGAACCCCAACTTGCAGAATTTGTGTGAAAATACCAAAAAAGGAGACATACGGAGCTGCAGTCTGGCAATGATCCTGAGTGATCCTGACAGAACAGACAGCTTGGAGATTCCCAAGTGGTGGTAGGACCTAACAATTAACGAAAAAATCAGCCCTGCTAGCCAGGGGCTGCATGAAGGACTGTGCATGGTGGCTGGGGAACAAACGGAGAAGGTGAAGAGAAAGGTGGGGTGAACTGTGGACTTTTGCCGGTCAGGAGGCTGCCGCCATTTTGAAGGTTTAAAAAGAGGCTTAACTATTTTGGATAGTTAAAGAGACAGCACTCTCGCAGATTCCTGGGGCTTAAGAACACGTTCTGCTTCCAACAACCCCAAGGATACTCGAGACCTGCAAGATTGAAAAGGTACAACATTCCACTTGTTACTCTTATACCCCACACCCAATTGGTGAACAGAGGTGTGGCCATCCTCCATTCCCACCTATCTTCTGGGCCCACAGGAACTCCACCACAGTCTGTGCTGAGACAGAGCCTGGGTGCCCTGCCCTGTCCTCCACCGATTTTTTTGCCCTTTTTTTATTTTT